ACCCCTGCGGCGGCGGCAGCGGCAGCAAGCCGTGGACCCAAACGCCGTGCCGCCGCCGCCGCAGGCAGCACCCCTGCGACGGCGGCGGCAGCAAGCCGTGGACCGAAACGCCGTGCCGCCGAGTCCCGTGGCTGTGGCCGTGGGCTTCTGGCAGGAAACTACGGCCGCAACTCGGCAGCACGGGGGCGTCGCAGCGTGCCCCCGCCGCCGCCGCGCTGCCCCCCGGGCACGGCGGCGGCGGCAGCAAGCTTGGGCCCAAACGCCGTGCCGCCGAGTCCCGTGGCTGCGACCGTAGACTGTGGGCCGGAAACTGCGGCCGCAGCTCGGCGGCACGCGGTTCTGTTCAAGTCGCCAAGCGTGCAGCAGCGCCGAACCACGCTTCCCGGCCTCGGCGCATGCCTTCAGGGGCCCCCTATCGCTGGGCGCACCCCTCCAACACCGAACATGCGCCCGGGGGGGAGGGCGGCCCGGGCTGCCCAGGCCAAAGTGGGCCGCCCTCGAGCAAGAGGCGGCCGGTCTGTGTGCATAGGAGCCGGCGCATCTCTCCTTGCCACTAACACGGCCCTCTGAAAAGTAGCCGCAGTGAAACCAGCTGCACGTGAACACAATAGAGGCAGGTGAAAAACCTGCGTTGAAAGGCTCCCAATCTAATGGAAGTGATTGCAATAACCTGGAAAAGTGCGTCCATGCCCCAGCTGATCTTCTATCACATGGTACAGACAGGAAGGCAACTCACTTGCCATCGCAGTCCATTACTTTCTTAAGGGCCCCTGACATGTCATCATGGCAGCCGAGCTTCGGCAGGTTGCACTCATGCTGAATCAGTGTTGCGTTCACATACTGCGCCTTGTCATCCTTCTCGCAGGACCAGCGCACCTGCAGCCGTGAATCAGGCGTAAAATATGCTAGTTTTGCGTTGCGGGGGGCGGGGGTGACAACTGCCGGCTTACCCATTGATTCATTTTAATCTTTTTGTCCAGCGCAAAACGGAAGCTATACTCAAACGTGTAAGTACATAATCCAAAGAAGCAGAAGTCGGTGGGTGGATCGCGCTTGCACTCTCTAAAGTCAGCCTGAGGCCACTCCATGCTGGCCATGCTGTCCTGATAGTTGAGGTCGGTTGGGTTGGTGTAGGCACGCACAACCTGCTCGCCCATGGAAAGATGCAATGGCATAATGATGGGAGTGCAGGCGTGACTCGGGAAATGCAGGACATGAAACCCAGCAAAGGCCGTGCGTGAGCTGTCCAAACACTGCTCACACCTTTTCTAAGTTGGTTTTGGTCAGGTGGAAATCGACGCGACTTTGCAACCGGTTGGCAACACGGTTGGCAAATACAATGAGTTCAGCGTTCCTGGCGGTGCTGCCAGATGCCATGATGATGTGTTGTAGCACCAGGATCTTCAGGGTGGCGCCTGCAACGGTGCGGAGGGCACCAAGAAAGTTGAATAGCACAGAGGCTTGGCACAAGCTGAGTAGTCCAGCGCAGAATCGCCGAGGATGCTCGGCAACTTGTGGTAGCTGACCTGTCAGCCAGCTGTCATGAGCCCACCTTTGGCCAGAGCCACTGTGGCTTTGACATCCATCCAATTGGCAAACTTGCTGCACCAGACAGAAAACAACAGGGATTGTTCGCGAACCCAAAGAGGGAAAGGAAGCAAGGCGACAGGAGAAGAGACATGCAACACATCTTGGCTGCCACCTGTGTGGGCTTCATTTTGCGCTGTGGCCCTGCATGCAATCCCTGTGTCCTCACTCACTTGAAGTTGTCGATGCCATCCTTTTCAGTGAACAAATCGAGAATGTACTGCACATCCAAGCTGGCAACGGAAATGTGAGATCAGTGATTCCATGTGTGTCCTCACCTAAAAGGCGCCTAGCAGCATCGCCTGACCTCGAGATCTGCAAACCACTCAGCCTCTTCATAAACATCGTAACAGAAGCCATTCGGGTCGCACACACCACCAAGCGCATTATCGCCAATTGGACAGCGTTCTGCACGAGGAACCAAGGTGTATTGGGAACGCAGAACGGGCAGTTCGCAATGTGTTGTACGCATTGGCCAGTGCTCAGGGAGCAGGCTCGATGCAAGGGCGCGCACTGAGGAGCTCAACTCACTTGGCTCATCAGCACTCCACTTGGAGCCGTTGCAGGCTTTGCTAACTGAAGCAGAGATCCTGGTGCCGCAGTCATTGGCATACCGTTTCTGTGAGTTGCGCTGGCTGGGAGGTAGGTTCCTCAGCGTTATGCAGTTCTGGGCCCCACATCTGGCACCAATCTGCAGAGTGGGTGCAAGGTAAGTGCAATGCAATGAACCTGGGAACTCTAACTCAGACACAGCTGAATACCGGTTGTCTGGGTCCGAGAACGCCCTCACCTGCTCTTCAATTGCATTAATTGCGGTGTTGTATTTATCTGCGGCAGAGCTTCCAGCGAGTTGGTAACGCTCTCGAGTACATGGCAGCCAGAGCAGGATATGCTCGGCAAACAGCAGCACTGGGAGTGCAAAGAAAGCACCGGGAGCGCACTGCAAAGAGAGCCCATAACTGCAACAACATACCTAGCTCCTGCTGGTTCATGAGCTGCTCCTGGTTGAACATGATGTCGCGTGCCATCGTGTCCAGCTTGCAGGACAGCCAGTCCTGTAGCTGGACCAGGTCCTGCAGGGCCAAGGATGACAGAAACAAACATGTGCTCGTGATCCGTGTCGTGGCTGGGTGAGCGGAAGCATGCCACAACGACGGCACCGCATGATTCTGTCAGAAACATTGCAGCTTGCTTCCAAGACTGGCTTGGACTAGATCGCACTTTCTCAAGGTTGTATATCATCCATAGTCCTTGGTTGGCAGTGTCGTCACTGCAAAATGGCAGCAGGGGCTGCCAGGCTGCTGAGAACAGACAGACAGACAGACGGAGGAATGCGCACAAGTGCAGTTTGCCACGAAGTGCTCTTCCGGCTGGAGGCCTGAACAGAATACTCCTTGCAACACTGCTGGGGACTAGCCACCATTGACTCACTTGTCAGTCCAATACAGGGTCGGCTGAACCTTGCGCCCACGCCTGCTGCCCCCACTCACGGAATCGAACGGTCATAGATGCCCGTGACCACTCCCAGACCAATCTTGGAGAACGGGCGAGATTCTGGCACAAAGTCTGTCAGTACGCCCAACATATCGCCAAAAATAGATGCCAGCGCTGTAAGAGGGCCGTCAGAGGGTACACACATTCAGCAGTGCATATATAAGGCACATCCGGGTACCGCATAAAACTGACAGCACAAAACATCTGTTGCACCCACCCGATGAGGTATCCGTTTTTGGTTCCTGTGGCTTCTGCAGGATCTTCGATTGGCAAGCTGCACGAATTTGGGACGGAGCGGGCAGGCACAGGACGTGAAGTTCCACAACACCTCCCCCCCGGGCGCATGTTCGGTGTTGGAGGGGTGTGCCCAGCGATAGGGGGCCCCTGAAGGCATGCGCCGAGGCCGGGAAGCGTGGTTCGGCGCTGCTGCACGCTTGGCGATTTGAACAGAACCACGTGCCGCCGAGCTGCGGCCGCAGTTTCCGGCCCACGGTCTACGGTCGCAGCCACGGGACTCGGCGGCACGGCGTTTGGGCCCAAGCTTGCTGCCGCCGCCGCCGCCGTGCCCGGGGGGCAGCGCGGCGGCGGCACGCTGCGACGCCCCCGTGCTGCCGAGCTGCGGCCGTAGTTTCCTGCCAGAAGGCCACAGCCACGGGACTCGGCGGCACGGCGTTTCGGTCCACGGCTTGCTGCCGCCGCCGTCGCAGGGGTGCTGCCTGCGGCGGCGGCGGTAGCGCACGTGGCAACCCCCCGCGTTTCCTTGCCTCCCATCCACCGGACCCCGTCCTGCGCTTCACTTTGTTTAGGGAGGGGCTTCTC